AAAAAGAAATAAAATAAAACATTTTATATTTAATAAAACTATTACTACCATTAGGCAATATTCTATATACATATATATTTTATGAAACTTTTTAGAAATAATATTTTTATGTGACTAATGTTTTGTTTTTTAAAAGAGGAAAATTTTTTTTTTTAAATGGCTCTTGGAGCCAAAAAGTTAAATAATAATTTTTAAATGAATATAAATATGTTTTATAAGTAAAATAAAAAGCTGTGAGATTAAAAATACTAATTATTAGAAAATCTCACAACAAAAATATGAACAACCTAAATAAGGCCCCTTTTTTTTATGTTGTCATTACATTAAATTTTACTAAGAAGGGGTACCCCTGTCCATCTAACATTGGACCAAATTTTACAAATTATACAACTATTTACATATATTCTGTAGTTAAGATGGTATTATTTTTTATCAACATAAAATAAACAGAACGAAACCACAGTTCGGACAAATTTTTAATTTCTTTAAAAATCTATATTATACATTGCACCTTATTTCCAATTTATAATTTTTCTTATTGCTAATTTGTAACCATAATAAGGGAGAAATAATTCTGGGAGTAAGAAGTGTGGTGCCTTCGTTGTAAAATAAAATATTACACGATCATCACTAAAAACTATTTTATATAATAGAGGGATTAACAAGATTTTATTTAAAATCTGAATATTTTATTATAAAATAGTTGAGAGATCTATGAAGTTATTTATTTTTTTAAATTTCGAAACAAACAATGTATGAAGAAGTTTTCAAGTTATTCAATATTGATACTTTTCTGTATAAATTAAATTTAAAATTTCAGAATAAATATTAAATGAAATAAAATATATTTTATATTGCAACATTAAAAATAAATCGACTAAATTTAGATAATATCTGCTAATATTGTTCCACGTCGCCTTGAAAATCAATAGTATGATACAACTGATTGTGGGAGACAGTCAACTTAGGATGAATTATTTTTAAGTTGATGAGCAGTTATTTAGAATCTTATCAACAAAAACAAAACTTCAAAAGGTCAAAATTTCATAAATAAACATGAATATGAATTATTAGTTTTATTTGAATTTATGCTAATCATTTTAAAATGTAATATTTTGAAATAATTTACAGAAATTTTTTGCATTCCATCACCATGAGATTGAAAGAAAGCCTTATCTCTAATGAACAAAAGTTTACAGAAAAAAAAATAAAACTAAATTTCTTCTTAAACCTCCAAACTATGAATGAACCTTTAAAATGCTTCTTGTTTTAAGGTACACAACTTTATGATAATGTTGTCATATATTTTTTTTTTTTACATGGATTTTATTTTTAATTTTAAAGTTTCCAACTCATTGAGAAAAAAAAAAATAATAAAGAACCGACTTCAACGGTAATGTGAACTGAAAATAAAAAAGATACTTATGGAAAATATTTCTTATGAATTATTAATTTATACTCGAGTTTGTGTCGCAGGCAAATTCAAAGCTATGGAGTTGAAGCCTCCAAAAATAGGATTTTTTTTTATGAATGATTTGTTTCTAGGAATGATCTGGGAAAAATACACAATTAAGAACAATATGTCCTCTTCAAAACCCATATATTTAAACTACCGAATGTATGCCTGTGTAAAGTAAACATGTTAACAGTTTATCCCTAAATGCATTAGTGTTAATTAAAAAACATTTAGCCACCATTTTAAGGTCAAATAAATTTCAACATAACACATCACTGTATTGGATTCGGAACTTTCAAGTGTCATAAAAAAATATATATAAAAAAAAAATTAGACCAATTTGTTAAAACTACAAAAAAAAAGTAATTAGAAAACAAGTTTGAATGCATTTTAACTTAAGGGTAGAATTAAATTAAATTTTATTGCTTTTTTAGTTAATGAGAATAATTGATCAAACTGGCAAAATAATAAATACAACAAAAAGCAAAATTATTAAGTGTACAACAGAGATATGTTAAGTGTAAAAACAGTTAATTTATTAGAATCGATAAATTGTCTAATAAATCTCCTATGAAAAATATGAACTAAAAATAAGTGTAAAAATAATATTTAAAAAAAAAAAAATCGTAACAGACATACTTCTTATCGATTTCAACGAATTTTCGTTCGTTTTATAGAGTATTCAGGAATCTTTCAAATATTCATAAGTATGATCAAACATGAATTATATACTTTTTTAGTTATGCACAAATAAGTTTCCTTTTTTGGTCATAACTTTTTTTTTTTTCAACTTTTAATATTGTTTATTTTTTGCAGCTGAAGGAGAAGATAATATTCGAAATGATGGCTCAAATCATTGGATTTAATCAAGAATTAACGAAGATTTAGCATATCGAAAATATATATATAATATTACAATTTTTTTTTTTATAATTCGACCTTTATATATTATAACTTGAGATATGAATTATAGTCGGATAATAGGTCATGAACTTAACATATATATATACTTTTGAGAAATAATATATAAAGAAATAAAGATACTTGAAATTAATGATATGAGTGACCTCATATCAAAGTTGAGAAAACCCATTATCTGTAAAATAACTTCGATTTAAACTAATTCTAATTTTTTTATTTTTTCATGATTCAACTTGAACATCCTTAAATAAAATCATCAAAACAGTTTGAATAGAACTTATAAAAAAAAATTTGACTTTTTATCCACTTTTTGGAAATGAAAGATGTCGGTATTTGAAATAAATCTACTCGTGTACGAATAAAAATTATTTCGTTCCAATTACACATTTTTTCGCATAATTAAATATGTTTAAGTATGAAATACAGATAATTCGAATTCTAAAGTTCATGTGAGTTTGCATGTACTCATACAAACAAGATATATGATATTATTTGAAGAAAGTTAAGTATTTTATATGTATGTATCGATGTATTAACATTAAATACTGTTTTTTTTAATCATACAATTCATGTTAAATCAATACGAACCACTTTAAATCCATTTTTTTCTCTCCCAATGTAGGAAGGGCACGTACGTCCTTGTAACGTAGTGGGTGGATTCAGATAAATAGTCGACATATTTGTTTTGTATTTAGAAACTAATGAAAGATCTTTATCATTGGTACCTATGAAAATTTAAAATAAAATATTAAAATAATAAATTGATATATTCAATTAATATTTGAAAACGAAAAAAAAAAATAAAGTTGCGATTATTTAATAAATTTTAAATTAATAAAATATACTTTTGATATTTATACTTTAAAGAACATATGATAAAATAACATTAAATTCATAAATTATATAATAATTCAATTATAATACATTATAATAACAAATAATTCGGTTCAGGAATAATTAAAAAAAAAAAAAAATGACACTAACGCAAAATAAATGTTTGTGGATATCTTAAAAACAAGTTGTCACACATAATGACAAAGAATTAAGTTCTATCTCTCACTCAAGAAGATATGATCTAAAAATAGATTTGGCCTTCAAGAATGAATACACGAATTCGAATCCAAACAAAAACTTAAATTGCACTATTTCAACTATTATAATCAATAATATTATATAATATTTCATAATATGATAAAAAAAATAATAGTAATAATAAAACAATATTTTAAAATGAAAACTGTAGTGAAACGATAAAAAAACAAAACAAAAAAAACGAAAGTATTACTCTTCCTGGACCGATTTAAAAATACGGGAAAACTAAAAATAGTACCATTATGAATAATAAAAAAAAAAGTTATTTAAGAAAGTAAAAGTCATCTTATGAACATATTTAACAATATAAATATGTCTATTTAATAAGTATATAAGTTGCAAATAGATTGCATGCTTAACAACAAATCCTGAGTGTATTACGTCACACCTCTAACAATCAGAGGAGAGACGATAGATAGACATTGTTGAAACGATCCATTATAAAACTTTTAAATTTATTTAAATATAATTAAATTCTTATTTAAGAAAAAATAATGATATAATCGTGAAATGATGAATAATTACGAATGGCGAAATGAACATATTCTGCTAATTGAAAATAAATATATTTTTATATCAATGATTAAAAAAAAAATTCTATTTTTTTATTTTTTAATAAATTAAAAGTTATTAAGATTTTTTTATAGTGTTTGTAATTTAATTATGTAAATTTCTAAAAATATATCGAAGAATAATACTTTCGAACGTTATGAATCCATAATGACAGATTTTCGTTAAGGTGTGTATATAAGGAGGAAATTACAAGGCGGGGTTGTTCCAATGGTGTCTTTAACTCAAGGTTAGTTGAAATCTACCAAGCCAAAATATTTATTTTAATTAGAGCGTTCACCTATAAGTGGAGGGGGGATTATAATTGATAAGAAATTACAATTATAATTCACTTATTCTCACATGGAGACATTCGATAGTTCTTACGTAAACAGAATTGTAATTACACCTACACAGGCGACAAGTGCAAGGATTACACGAACAATGTCACTTGACAAAACTTTCACCTAAATTCGAAACGTCCTTGAGAAAACTAACTTGATTTAACTTGTTTCGAATTAAATTATAACAATACGATATTATTGTAATCATATATATATATCCTAATAAAGATATAAATTTTAATAAAACATATAATAAAAAGTGTAAGTTTTAGCGGGCGACGCAAGTTATGTCACCGACTGACCCCATTTCTTAAGAATTATTTCGGAACTTTCCCAGTTCTGTCTAGGAATGACACATAGATAATAGAAAAAGTTAAAATATCCCCTTAATATATCGTAGTTTTAACTAAATATTCAATTCTCTCATAATTGGAACTCAAGGTCGAGCGAAATGACAAGCTCGCGAACTTCTTATCTAAAACACATCAAAACTATGAAATTTTAACTGAATGACGAATATAATCGAATCGATAAGGAAGAAATAATACATCAGAATATTATGAATACGAAATGTGTCATATGAAAGCTACGGATAAGTTAAAAAACATGTACTTTAAACATAAGGATTCAATACTCACACATTTACTCGCCATTATTGGATATGACGCCAAGCATCCTCAGTATTTTCTGATCTTCTTCGATTAGAACTGAACACAAACAGTGATTATGAGTCTTTAAAATACACATAAAGGTGTAAGAACACTAGTTTTGTTGTAAGTGGGAGAAGCCTTAGAGACGAAGCGAACACGTCCGATCAGCTGGGCAGCCCGGCACTCACTGAACTAACAGCTGTTCTCTCGTCCAATCCCCACACTACAAACAACTACACGCTTACACACCAATATCTACCTTCTTCTTCATTTCCAGGCCATATTTAATATTAAAAATCCATTTAAACCCATATTAATTTGCCTTAAAAGAACACTTGATTATAAAAACAAATATCTATATTCTCTACTTTTTAATATACTCTTATATTTGTGCGAAACACAAACATTGTCATCTATTAATTCAACTAAAAAGATTAATACTCAAATCTATTTTTACGAATCGAAATTCATATATATTTTCTAAGAAGGAGTTTCAAAATATTTAATACTTGATAATATTAACATAAAGTCTAACAAAAAACAAGACAAATTCTCAAAATGACCTTGAGTGCAATTACAATGGATTTTTGTTTTTATATGCGTGTCATAATTATTCTTATTGATTTTTTAAATGATTACATAACGAATATGTTAACAGTTTAACTCTGACCAAGGGTACATTATTGTTGATGAAAAAAATCTGAGTTTTAGAACCACTAACAGATCCAAGATTTAATTTTTTTGGAGGGGGGAAGGCTCCAGCCCGAAATCTTTTTTTTTTTTCATAAAAATAACGATAATTACTTTGGGAAAAAAGAAAGAAACTATCTAACTACATTCTATGTGATTCCTAAAGTCCTTTTAAATGTAATTTCACGTACAATGATACTTTAACAGATAATTTTTTTATATTTTATCCATAAAGCATGATTATATTTTACTATTTTGGGGGTAGGGGACTTCAGTTAATAATTTAAAAAATTCAAATTGATCTATATTTTTATCTGAAAGTTTTAAAAATCATTTGATAATTTTTATTAAGAGCGATTTATGTTTTTGATCTTAAGTAAAAAAAATCATATCCTGATCATTATTTTTCAACAAAATTTTTGCAATCAACAAAAACAATAATTCTTGAATGACACTTTTTAAAATCAGAAATATAATTTTTACTTTTAATTAATTATATATGTGAGATAAAGTATTGCGATCGTGAAAATTTTCGAATCTAAGTTTTCAACGGAAGACACGTTTTGAGGTCCTCTGAGTCTAAATAACCAAGTCCCGCAAAATGGTCTCTGTGTATCTGTGTTTGCAAATGTATGTGATCAGTCTAGTTCAAAAACAAAAAAAGTACGAAACTGACATTAAATATTTAAGATAGGTACATGCATTTAGTGTTGCCCAAATGAGTCTTGGTCTTGCAAACTCAGTCTTGGTCTTGCGCCAGAGTCTCGCAACAGTCTTGCAGTTACTTATTAGCTTATTACTATAGAGATATTACTGTAAGTTTTTAGATAGGAGAAACCTAAGCCCGAATGAAAAATTAGAGGAGTTAAATGCAGAAGTATATTGGTAATACCAATTATTAACAAATAATAACTAAAATTGTCGAGTATTAGTAAATATTTTGCCTTAATTTTTATTTAAAAAATCGATTTTTTTAACAGTTTGGCTGCCTTGGTCTGCAAAGGGCAAGACCAAGACCGATTTTGGGCAACACTATAAACATTGGACGTGAAAGCAATTTTTTCTTTAAAATCGACCAACCGGAAGTGGCACTTTATATCAACGCTTTTACTCATTTTTACAATCTTCTCTAGAACGATTTTAATTAAACTCGATATATCATTGGATAATTAAGTGGTCTTTAATATAATCGAGGCGTTTTCCCCATTAATACCACTTCTTGATTTATTTTAAATAATTAACTATCTCTCATTGTTAGAAGTTATGAAAAAAGGGGAATAAAATATATAATAGAATATAACTCTTGAAAGAATTTGATAATTGAAAAAAGGGAAAAAGTGTATTTAGATCGAAAATGAATTCCCAGAAATAATAGTCAGAAGGTGTACGTATAATGTATCGTTGTGGAGCGAAGGATTTTAGAAAAAACAATGTATAATATAGAAAGTCGTAGAAAGGAATAAGAGTTACGAAAAATTATAAATAATAATTTGTGAAAACTAATATTATTTAACGGAAATCACACGTTTTGAAGGAAATTAAATTAAATTTCCTTACTAAATGTAAACTTTTAAATCTTTTTCTAAGTTTGAAAAAAATGTATTTAAAATCCACCTAATCAAGACAATGACATTGTTTAAAAAACTATTTCATAATGCTTGTGTGAATGAAGAAGTGAAATATAAAAATATTCCATGGATGTATAAAGTAAGTGTTTATAACCTTAAGTACATTTATTGTTTATATTTAATTATATTTAAATAATTAGGTATCAACGTACGTTTATGCCGAAAAATCGTCATGTGACCTTTTAGAAAATTAAATTGGAGAATAATTTGGCGAACTTTCCCTTTATGAAATCCAAACATTATCCACTTAAAATTAGTGTGACAAATTTTGACCTTTCTATGGCCGGCAATGAATATCTCGTAGTTTCATTTTTGTAACATTTGAGTTCTACCAATGGGTAGTTTCTCTTCTTGTTGTACATGTCATGTTACCAATTTCAAATTTACTTATTGTATTTTCTATGTAATACAGTTGTAAATTCCATTAAAATATTAAAAAAAAAAAATTTGTATCTATTCTTAACAATGGAAAATAACAGTTTAATAACTGATAAGCGAACAATCCATAATCATGTATAGGTTGAATATAGAGATATACTTTCAAATCTCTCTTGGCATATTTTTATAGCTTAGAAACTGGTGTTATGGAGTGAAGTAACTAGGTTTTATTGTCTACCTTTGATATAATTAATAGGTTTATTTTATTATTTTAGAGGTCTTAATGATTTGTCAGCTGTAAGCTTTAAGATATAGCTCCGTTAAAAGTGTATTTCAACGTTATAATTGCGCAACATTGTCAGAAAATAATTTCTATTCAAAGTAGAGAGGTAAGTGAAAGTCGTGTTTTGCGCGCACCAGATATTTGTATAATCTATATAGTTTGAGCCGGGAGCAGTAGGTGGAGAATATTGTTGTCAACTATTAGCAACAGAACATCTTTATTTCCGAAATTCATTAAAAATTTTGGTTTACAAAAAAAAAAAAAAAAATATATATATATATATATATATATATATATATATATATATATATATATGTAGTGCAGGAATCGTGTGCACATTAATGACGGTTACATAAATAATTTTTCTTTTTTTAAACTTATTTATTGAAAAATATTACAATCTGTCTCAAGGACATTTATAATAGTGTTCACAGATCACATTCACACTCTATGTACAATAAATAAAATAAATTATACAGAAAAATAATATATATACAATAAACAAGAATAAAATAACCTAAAAATAAATAAATAAAAAGAACACATACATACCTATATACAATATTTACAATCTGGCGAGAGAACTCCAAACCAGACTTGTTCCTCCAACTGTGGAGGGAAAAGCATGACTCCAGGAGATCCCTGCACTTCTCTCTCAACCGCGTCACTGGGACTGAACCCAGTGGAGATTGAGCAAGTTGTCCCCCTCTGGTATCCCTTCAAAACGAATAAATCTTTCACCTTTTATATAAATATTAATATTTAATTTAGTTTGTGTGTAAAAGGTGATTTTTATTTTCTGATCAAACATTTTTTTATCACAATTTAATCATTAATATTTATGGTAAACCGTATCACTCAGTGAGTAATCATTATTTTCAGTGAAATCCATAAACTTAAATTATCGATTTATGATTTTTTATTTAAAAATCAAATATAATAATTATTACACAACTCTGTGGAAAAAATAATTATCATTTTTAAATGCTGGGAATAAAACAAATGTTTAAATGTTTTTTTTCCTATTCAAGTGTTTTTTTTTTTCCTCTACGATTGGTAAAAAGAGAAAAAAAAACGGTGGGGTTAGCGTTAATCTCGCCATTAGTTAAGTTAGATAATTATGGTTCCCATAGTTAGTGAAAAGTCTATAGCGACCTCCATGTGAATAAGTATTATCATTTTTTTTTATTTACTTCCCTTTACATTATTTTACATAAATTATCTATTTATTAATAAGGATATTTTTAGTTTATAAAACTCGTATAACTGATAATAAATTATCTTGAAACGATATTAATAACAACAAACATGTTAAAATTTTAATTCTAATCAAGGGCACATCATTCTAGACTTAATGCGAATGTGTATTATCAATTGTTGCGTAATTTTTATATTCCTTAAATAGGACTTACTTAGTCCTTAGTTCCTTAATTAGTATCTAATAATAGAGTACTTTGAAGGGTATTATAGATTAATTTATAATAAAAAAAAATATATATATATATATCGGGTGTTTCGTAATTGCACAGCACTATTTTAGCTATGTGTTCACTAACAGAAAATATACAAAAAAGTTAACATTAACACATATCTCAAATTCATTTATTAAACATATATCAAAGGTTAAAGATTTATTATTACTATTTATTTATTATTATTACAACATTTAGACTAACTGCTCAAAGGGGCATCCGTTTTGTTGAATGCAACATTCAGCACGACGAATCCATGCTTCTTTGGCTCTTCGTATAGCATCAGGATGGTGCTTGATAGTTACTGCGGCTTCCACGATTCGATTTCTTAGCTCTTCTTGTGTGGCAACTGCCGCAGAATAAACCATAGACTTTATCCAGACCTACACAAAATAATCTAATGGCGTTAAATCCGGAGATCTTGGTGGCAATTCAACAGGTCCGTTTCGACCAACCCATCGGTCTCTATAAGTTGCATTTAAATAATCAGTGACACTATTGGAAAAGTGAGCTGGAGCACCGTCATGCATAAACCACAGCCTTTGCCTAATGCCTAGAGGAATATCTTCTAGGAGTTCATGAAGATCAATTTGCAAAAAATGCAAGTAAGATATACCTGACAGCCTAGGTGGCAAAAAGAAGGGGCCGATGATGTTATCGCTTAGAAGTTCACACCAGACATTTAAAGAAAATGTATGTTGTTAATGTCCAACAGCAGTCGTATGAGGGT